TGGTGACCCGCTTCACGGCCAACATCAGCGAGCTCAACTCCATGATGCTGTCCACCGCGGCTCCCGGCCCCGCCGTGGGCGCCCCGCTCTGCTCGTCCTACCTGATCCCCAAAGAGATCCAGCTGCCCACGACCATGACGACGTTCGCCGAAATCCAGCCTATGCCCGCCATCGAGGTCACGGGCGGCGCGCAGCCCGCGACGGGGGCCCCGCCGGCTGGGGGCGCTGTCCTGGAGACCCCGGCGGCCGGGCCCGAGGCTGCGACCTGCAAGCCGGACCTGGAGGAGTTGGTGGCCCTCACCCCGCCATCCCCTTTCAGAGACTCGGTGGACTCGGGGGGGAGTACAACCCCCAACTCGCCAGTGTCAGAGTCGGCCCTCTGTATCCCATCGTCTCCCAAATATGACACTCTTATCATAAGAGATTACACGCAGAGCTCCTCGTCGTTGTGAATGTCCCTGCAAACCACGCTGGGTTCCGCGTGCAGAGCTGAGACACAGTGACAAGCATAGTCACCTGGTTAAGACCCGAGGTGGAAGATGCCAAGTACACTTGTAATGGAAACATGAGATTAATAGTGCTATTTAACAACACGGACGAAGACACCAACTACAAATCTTCTGGCAGATCTTCTTCCAGTTGCCTTAGAAAACATGGGCTTTTAAGAAACACTGCTTATATTTTTGAGGGCTGACAAGGAGGCTGTTAAAACAGTTACATACCAAGTGCTTTGCTCTAGGGAAGCAGTGAGTGTGAAACAGCATAATGGAGGGTGAAAAGCATAGTTAATAAGCAACTGTAAAAAGTTTTGTTTACTTTAATTCTTTTCCCAGAAGAGTCTTTGATTCACCAAACATGAATGTACATTTTCTAACAAACTCGAAATCTGGGACCAAAATATCAACCTTTCTTTTTTCTTTTTTTATTTTCTTTTTCTTTCCTTTAAAGACCTTGAAAAGCAGTAACTTTGGCCCAGTATGTGCTGAGGCATTGTTGTGAGTGTGTCCCATGCGTAACTGGACAGTAAGTGCTGTATTAATGTACATAGGGCTTCTACCAGAGACTTTTCTCTCCAAGTTGGTTGTGAAATGCTCTTCCAAAAGCCTGCATCCGGGATTCTACCTAGTTATTTCAGATTCACCTCCATTAACCAAGAAAACCAGTGAAAGATTTCTTGACTATTTCACCATGTTGCCAACCAATACTGGAGTAGCAAAAAAATATTTTCTGGAACACTGTTTTGTAATTCCCTCACTGGGGTGCATTGTGTAGCTGGAAATTCTCTTTATATTAATTCTTGAGCTCCAGCCCAGCTATCTCTTTCATGAAACATGGCCACTCCTCCTTATGAATGCTGTTCCGTTAGTATTGCCAGCTAAAATATTCAAATATGCATTTGGGCTTCTTCATTCCTTTCTTTTGAGAACCTGATGCACAAACAGCTCCTCTGTTCTTTTAGAGTCCCACCACTAGGAGAGTGGTCCATAGACCCACTGAAGACATTGTCACGATTGGAGGGACTGTTGTTGACAGAATTAACATAATCGTAATACACTGGAAATTTTAAATTGTGTCAAGTCGGCTTAGCAGAGATTTAGCTATGCCAATGAGCAGTGATTTTAACTTTTCTTGGCTGCTTAAACAGGGCAGCTATGAACTATGACAAATGTAGATTTTTTTCAAAGCAATACAGAATACTAAAACAGAGGAACCTTAATGAACATCAACCACACAATCTTTCTTAGCCATTCCAAAAAGAGGCGAAGCAATTATTAATATTTTCCTTTTTAAAATGATTATTAATATGATTTTGTGCACTTCATACTGTCACTTTTTAAATACTGCAGAAAAGAGATTTAGAGTCATAATAGAAACACATGTGCTTTGGTAGGCTCATATAGGTAGAATTCATAACTTAAAACCTAAATCCAATGTCATCTCTTTCTTCCTCCCATTGCAGCTATCCTCAGGTACCAAATGTTCTTGATTTTTAAATATGGATAGTGATAAAAGGAAGAGGTGTCCTATAAATTTAAAGTTCAGTTGACCCAGCCTTATACTAAAGATAGCCTTATGAAAAAGATTTGCTGTGAGGCAGAAGTATATTTTTGGCAGAGAGAAAAATAGATAGTTTTTTCCTTTAGCTTAATATCTTTATTTTGTTAAGTATTTTTTATTTCACGACTACTTAAAAAATTTGAGAAATGGAAATCTATACACTGGCATAATTTATTATTCTCCACTTTTAAAAGTTATAATAAATATACTTCTTACTGACTTTCCTGATAGCTGTTCCTATTTGAAACTTTAAGTCAAATCTCCCAATATAAAACATTAAAGCTAACATTAACTTACTAAAATATTAGTTTAAAAGAAATCAAACCTCCCAAATCAAATTTGAAAATAGAGCACCCTCATCCCAAATATAATCAGAGCACCCTGATCCCAAATATAATGAGACTCTTGAAACAGAAGTGAAATCTAGCTAAATTTTATGGCTTCGTTGAAAGCAAATGTCTGCCTGTACCTGAAAAACAAATATATATATTTTGAAGTATTAATACCCCTGAATCCTCAACAAAAAGAGTAGTATTCACCTGGGGATTACTGTCTTGATTTATTAGGTATTGAAACCTTTCTAAATATGCTCTACTCTTTAAGTTTTAAATTTTGTTTTAAATTTTAAGTTTTAAAATTTGTTTCATAAAATCCTTATGTTGATTTACTGTCTTGATTTATTAGGTATTGAAACCTTTCTAAATATGCTCTACTCTTTAAGTTTTAAAATTTGTTTTAAATTTTAAGTTTTAAAATTTGTTTCATAAAATCCTTATGTTGATTGCCATTTTATACTCAATTACAATAAGTTTCACTCCGTTGACCAAGAAGGAGAACATTTTTTAAACTTTCTCCACGATCAAATTCTTTTTTATAATTTTTATTAACATATTTCTTTAAAAAGCATGAGAAACTATTAGAAACTAAAATTTAATGCAAGCAAATTGCCATCTGATAATTCCACCTCATATCACAATCAACTGTAATAATAAAAGTGTATCCAATTGGAGGAGAAGAAGATGCATTTTTCTCCGTATTTCTAAACCTTTGCCACTTCATTAAATACACTGTATATTGGACATAATACTATTAATTTGCATTCTTGATATCTTTTATTTTGGAATGATGCTAACTGTCTCTGCCAATTCTAATACCAGGTTCCAAGTAATAACTCTACAATACAAAGAGAACTGAATATTCATTCTAGGGCTACGATATGAACTTCACAATTCATTTGGGTACCTATTCTCCTTGAATTTCCTTGAAAATAATCTGTTCCTGGTGCCCAATGATAATTCAGTCGGAGCCAACATGACTAAAAGGAAGGGAAAAGTACAGTGAAATGCTATGGCTCAGCAAAGTGACCTAAAGGAGAGTTTGGCCCCGGGATGAAAAAGAGAAGACCTGGTTTGATCAAGTTATACTAATTAATCTAAGCAGTCCACTCATCCTTCTACTTTGGGAGAGGAGTGGGGGCAGCCTGAGAAGACCATATTTGGATTGGGAAGAACTGTCTTTCTGGGCTAGGGCTGGGGAACAGAAAGAGAATATGAAAAGGAAAATCATAAGAGATTTGACTGAAGCAAGGGAAAAACAAGCAAATCCCCAAATGTGCTAATCCCTGAAAGAAACAGTCTTTCCCAAACTACTGCTGTTACCAGCAAGGGATCATGAAGACTAGGAGCTATTTCTGACTATAAATGAATTGTGTAATGGCTCTGCTGCAGTCCTGTGACTTCCAAACCAGGAATTAAACACTCTTTTTAAGGAAGGAAAAAAAAAAAAACCCACACATTTCCTATACTAGCCTCCCAGCAAAATGTACATGTTTTGGGGACTTCGAAGGTATTATCTGAGTTCACATTTAGCAACAGCTTATTAATAACCATCAAGCTGTCAGAATCTCTATAGTTACCATTTACCATTTTATACTGTGAAAAAATACGGATCAGTGAAAACATAAAGATAAATCAGAATTCACGTCAAAGAGGGTCTGAGGCCTGGGAGATTCTTTGCTGTCTATTGAAGAATGAGGCATGTATAAAATAGTTGGCTGAATTTCACTGATCTTTCCAATGTGAACAAATATACTATGTATATTGTGTGTATTTCTAGAATTCAATGGCAGCTGCTGGTGATGTTGTAATTAGAAATCTATATAGAATATAGATGTTTTAGAAAGATGGTGCCAATCCCAAAAGATTTGTGTGGGCTCCAAGTGCTTGTACTTACTTTTTTCTGCACTTATAACTGATTTGGTTTTAAAATTGTGTGTGTGTATCTGTTATTTTTCTGTTGTTGCAGCTTGTACTATTAAAATAATAGAGAATGTTAAATTATTTTGATGTGAATTGCAAATGATTTTTTTCATAAAGTTTAACATTTTTATCAGCATTGTTTCGCTTTGTACTTGTACAAATGTGTTTTATTTTGGCATTCAAAAATACACTTGCCTGTTTTTCAGTTGTCTAAATCATGTTATAATTGGTGTTTGTGAAGTCACTTACTTTTTGAAAAAATATTAAAAAAGAAACTATGATATGACTTTAAGATTATTCCCCTCAGATGTTTAGAATGTTGTCTTAGTAGTGTTTTCGAAGACAAAAAGAGTCATGCTATTAATTAATTTGAAATTCTGAACGATCTACACATTTGAATTACAGGGTCTACAAATAACAGTGGACAATAGATTAAAAGAAAAACATAAATTAACCACAAACCACCCAGAGATACCATCCCCAAACACATCTAAAAACACCTTTTAAAACATAAATAAACACATACTTTCAAAAAAAGGAATGGAGGGAATGAATATACCTTGTTTTTGTGTCTAGACATACAAATTACAGAAAAAGTGTCACAATTATCTGTTTACGAGGTAACATCACACAGATAAAAAAGATTATGTGTGTGTGTCTGTGTGTATACACACATTTATACAGATATTTTACTTTGAATATATATGTGTGTTTGTGTGTATATTTGTATTTCTTTGTATTTGTATGTACGTATCTGTATGACTTTCCCAGAAAAAAATTTACTATTCAAATTACATTTTACTTTGACTAATTCTTAAGCAAATTTACAGTCGCTGAGCACAAATCAGCAAAATCCTAAAAGCAGAATATAGAATAGATGTTTGATGTATAGTCAAGAAAGATAAGGTAGATTTTTCTCTATGTTTCCAAATATTGTATTATTTATACTCATATATAATATATGTGCACACACACATATATACAAGGGCTCTTCAAAACGCTCACAAAAATATTTGTATTATCTTTTAATTCCATTTTCCACGAACTTTTTGAAGTACCTTCATAGATGGATATATACACACATATATATGCAAACATATATACACATATATTATTATACAAAATATTTTGATCTTGAAAAAGTAAACCATTTTCTCTGCTTTGTCAGACTCTACCCTTCAGTGTCTTCTATTCTGATATAATATAATTGAGCATATGGTTATATAAAATTGAGACTGGGGTGAGATATCTGAACCACACATATGGAAAATTATCTTCAAAAATCAAGAGTCTTATAAGACTCCACAGAATCATGGAAGGCCATTCAAAACCAGCTGATGCAATAGAAATAGCAATGAATTAAAAGCTAGGATCTATTACCCTGTCTCCATATGACCTTAGGTATATTGCCTTGATTTCTCTATAACTCAGTTCCTCTTTCTTTAAATGCAGAAGAGAGTTACAATAATCTGAGGGGGTTTTTTTTTGTTTGTTTGTTTTGTTTTTTATTTCCAGCATTCTTGGTACATGATAAAAGCTCGATAGGTAGTAGCTATTATGAGTGGCAATGTAGTAGAATTTATTATACAGATAATATTCAGCAGGAAACATAAATATGTTATGTACCTTATTATTTGTGGAGCTATAACAAATTCTTGTTCAACTTACAGTGTATATCATGGGGGAAATTTATTGAGGTTTGAGGTCA